TGGTTAATGGATGAATTTTATTGTGGCAGAAATGCCACTTTTAATCTGGCGCTATTACATACTCCCTTGCAATCAGTTAGCCCACAAAAGACCAGCCGACAAACGAGCTGCTGACCACTCAGCCACATCACTAGTTCGTTTAGATAATGGTTTCTGATGGCTACGAACTAGCCATATTGCTAATAGTTGCCTAAAAACTATTTTCGAAATAAAAAATAACAGCTTTCATTATAAAACAAGAGCGTAGAAATATGTGGCATAACCAAATTTCCTTCACCACACTAACATACTGCAAGTAGCAGTTAGCAGCACAGCTGTGCTGTGCATTGTTGCATATATAGTGGCTGCATATGCGGTGCAATCTCGCTGTTAACGCAGTCAAGCGTTACGTTACGTACGCCATATAGATGTACAAGCTGTGGCTGTGGCATTGGCTAAAAAAGTTGTCGTTTGTATGTGTGTGTGGTTTTTTATTTGTTGGCGGCTTTCGAACTCTGAAACGCGGCGTTGCAATTTCCGCTTGAGCGCACATTTTTCAGCCGCCGGATATGCAACGAAAAACCAATCGAGTTCAAATCGCAAAATGAATGGCAAAAGTTTTAGTAAAAATAATAAGAGCGATTGTCGAGTTACAAGTCAATGGCTATTTGCGCCAAGTAGAGGTGGTGGCTTTCGGACGCGTTCGCTAGAGGGATTGTACATACATGAAAAGGTATGATTCTATGGTGGCATTCTTTACTAGTCAGGAATTCATTTTTATTTAACAGTGGATTTTTGTAGACACGCCTGAAAGTATACAAAAAAAATTAAAACTTTAGTCAGACAAAAAATTTATTCAATCCTTAATTGTACGAGCCTAAAGATGTGCAAGCTTTAATATTAATGATGTTTTAAGCGCTTTAATTTTATAACTTCCCTCAATTCAGTGGTCTTTCTTTGGTTAAGTGGAATAAGATGCATACTTAAGTCTTTCTTTAAGATAAATTATCAATTAAATTAATATACGCCTATATATAGGCAAGGACCTTTTACACAAGATATCAATTCTTTCGGTAAGAATTTGAGGCAATACAAAATTTTTGTATTTAAAGATAGTAAAGACACAAAAGTTTTAATTATATTTATGCCATCATAAAAGTATGCAAGACTTTTTAATAATTTCCATCACTTAACTTAGGTCGATTATTGAATTCTCCACCGGATTCTTTATTTTAGAAAATCTTTTTGAGGAGCTTTCTTTGAAATGCTGTACTTAAAGCATAGATTTCTAAGCTTTTTTTTATTTAAGAATAATAGGGAGACACAATTTCTAATTATTTTTTATGGAATCCCAAACTTATGCTTTTGATAATTTTCCTCACTTATCGTGAGTCGAGCATTGAATTCCCAAGCGAATTCCTTGTATTATTATCGATTATATTATATCGAAAATTATTTATTATATCGAAAATTATCTCGACAATAGCGCCATCTATTAATTCGAATTTTTTTTTCAATTTTAACCAAAAAGGTTGGGTTTCTCCAGAATAAAGATAAAGCTCTAACTCATAAGGTAAAATATACTTCTACAATGGTATTCGACTGCCGGTTCCAAAATTATATTAAATATATATTTACTAAAATGTTACGGAAACAAAAAATAATCTGTCGATGAAATACAATTGCTTATCACATTCATAAGTTCTCAAATAACTCTGTATATACGAGTACGACGCAGCAATCATATAATGGATAGATTTTATACATAGCCCTAAAAGTATGTAACTACTTTAGATAGTGTATCTATTAGCCTATTATACTAACTAACCTACTTATGCTCGTTATCTGACCTAACCATTATGTTGTAACTTAATATTATTCAACAAATCAAGGGCTCTATAATTCTTAAGTCACTTCCGAAAGTCTAATGGATTTTATGAGAAGTTTAGCAGAAGGTAGAAACAGAAAAGGATTTTTCCCAATGCTTTCCGTTGTCTGATGACCATTTAAAAAGAAACAATTTTGAACTGGGTTCGCCTCTAACAAGACTAGCTCGATTTAATGAAAATGCTTAGCTCTCCACTAACTTCTAAAGGGTTTAGTTAAATATTTGCTTGCTTAATGAGGGAATGCTATTAGGAGCAAAAATTATGCGTCAATCCCCAAACGTAACGCAAATTTTAATTAAAAAAACAATAAAACAAACATTCAACGATATAATAAATTAATATTTGTAGCTTCAAACTTTCTGAAACTATTGACTGTTAGGACCCTGAAATAATACCAAATAAAAACTAAACTCGAACTTTAAAATGATTTCCACAAATTTCTGCTAAGTAATTAAAATAACAGTGCTGAACTGCAAAACTTTCAAAAATGAAACTATAAACTATTGCTTTACCTTTTAGCGCGCAATTTCGCAGCAAAACAAATATACATTTAGGCGTGCGCACACATTTGGAACAACTCTATTTGCTGCGACCAGAATGGAATGCTTTTAAAAGCGCGCACTTGAGCGCCACTTTTACTTGTCAAAACAATGTACAATTTTCGTTGAAACTTTAACGACGCGACGTCGTTGCGGCGCGCATATTATATCTGTTGTGAGCCTAAATATATGCGACATATTTGTAGCATTGTTGCGGTAGAGTAGTTCAAGGGCTTTACTTTTTAGCAAAGTGCAATTGGAGTGTAACAAAATACCCGTTACTGTCAGCAGCAATACGTATGTTTGTCTCTTGGCCACGTTGTCCACCATGACGCGCTATACAAATAGCAAAGCAACTAGCAAAGCGCACAGAAAGTTCGTCCACATTGTTGTGGCGAAAATTTTTTTCTAGACAAACAAACCAAAAGTGCAAAAATAATCATAAAAAAATAACTCACCAACATTGGTAGATTTAATTAAATGTGCTCAGTAGTGGCGTTGTGTAATGACATCTGCGTACGCGCCTAAAAGCAGACATGCTTATATGCACTTACATGTGTTTGCTTTTGACTGGATTACATTTTCGCATTCAGCGACACACTTACACGTATGAGAGCGCTCACGTTACAATGCCTGTCACGAAATGTTTGTTTTTCACTTAAATTACACACACACGCACACATATGCACCGACAGCAGCGCATACAAATTAAATACATGACGTTTGTATTAAGTGAGTGCGCGCTTTTATTTATTTATTTGTTTACTTTTATTTCACTTATTTTTACGTGTTTGCCGCTAAATCCAACACAGCGCTGAAGGTTAGCAGGTCTGCGCCGGTTGTTAGGAGCACCAAGTAATATGTGCAAAAATGTGAAGAATTTGTGCAAATATACATATCTACACATATCGAAAAATATATATATTCAAGTATATGTGTATGTGTGACTATGCAATAAAGTGCTTTGGTATATTGAAACCTTATCTGACAGGTATGCAGGCAGATTTTGAAGTATGCTTTTATGCCTGTGTATATGTTTATGTGTGCTTTGAAGTGAAATTGAGCTGAAATTGCGTAGAATCGCATATGTATGCGTGCATTCGGAATATCTTGAGCAGCGCGGCAATTTATTTAGCATACATGAGTGAATATATTGCATACATTTAGGAGTATATACAAGTTTTGGTATGAGAACATCAATACTCGGCTTTGTATATATCCAACTGTATCTGTACATATATACGTTAGTCAAGGTTAAATTCAAGGGTCACCTACAGAAAATATTTGTTATATACTGAAATGTGCATGTATTAGAGTTCAAATCCTGTGCCTTTTGCCTCTAACTATTAACAAAAACAAAGAAAGCCAACATAAATTTACAAAAAGAGTCCGAAATCCTACATTTCAGAAGCTGTATACATTAAACAAGTTTGTGTGTTTTTGTAGACAGCAAAGTTTAAGTTTTTAGATAAATTATCGTTTTTAATATTCAACATGGTACTGATTCACTAGTTTTCTCCCTTTTGCTGCTCTCTCATAGCACACAAAAGAATAAATGAGGTGTTAGTTTAAAGGCAGATATTGGCGCTATATGACAATAGTAATAATAATTTAATTGGTGCTTCCATTTAGTAAAAATGTATAAGATAAGTGCTAAAGAATTTAATGGTAGGGAATTCACCATAAAGAAACGCTATTGTGAAGGAATGTAAGTTATACAAAAAGATATTTCATTTAAAATATTTTTTAGATATTGTTGATGCTTTAAAAGTTTTTTAGTGTAAACACTTTTCTCCCTTCTTTCTTTTCACTTAACACTTAAATGACATATTAGTTATATATTTCCGCTATATGACAATCGTAATAATAATGGGTTAATTCACTTTAAAAGAGAAATGCCTAAGAAATTAATGAATGTGAATTCACCATAGAGAAAATGAGTACTATAACAATATTGTAAAGGATGATGCTATTCCTCAAAGTTATTTTAATGTCACCACTTTTTTCTATTTTGCTGCTTTCTCATAGCTACCAAACCAATGAAAGAGATGTAAGGTTAAAGCTAGAAACTCGCGCTATATGACATACACACAATAATAATGGAGGTGATATTTCCCTTAAGTAAAAATTTCTAAAAGAAAAGTTTTAAAATAAATGAATATGAATTCACCATAGAATATAACACTATTGTAAATGGCATGCAGAAATTCAAAGTAAACTTTCGGGGATACCCATTTGATTTTACAAAAATCTCTAAGCTGTTACAAAAATATCGCAGATAATCGTTTTTGTAAAATCAAATGAGGTTTGAAACTTTTTAGTTGAGCTCATATAAGTATTTTCAAAATCAAACTGTCGAAGTTAAATATTTGAAAAAATATTAATGAGAAAACTTGAAGACTTAGGTTGAACGTACCGCCTCAAAAAAGTAATAAATCTTTCAAGCTTTTCAATAAATGACATCCTTTGTGACAAGTTTAAAATAACTTATAGTCGATTAAAGCAGTTTCGCGATATATATTCTCTCTTTTAAATGACAGAAATTTTTTTTGGAATATTATATAACTGTCTGTCTATTTTTGTCTCTTTACAGTTTCCTCTACATTAAAAAATTAAATTGCGCAAGCAAAAACAATCTTTCTAAAACGACTAACAGTTACATTGTCTGAAACCTCCAAAATGATGGACAGCACATTAAATCACACCCCATCTACCGTAATCCCAATAACCGCTGCATAACAAACACAGGCACTTAAGCATTCATTGCCGCAACATGAACATCGAACAGCAGAAATTCCCACCACCACCAACGAACTTGCTGTCCGACAGCGGTTACACCAACGGCTATGCCACACCCAGTGGCAGCAGCATTACCACAACCTCGGCAGACACATCGGCGTCGTCGCCTGCCTCGCAGACGACCACCTACGTGAATATACCGATTATACCACATGGTCAGCTGCCCACATCCACGTCATCTACATCAACCGCCTCACCACCACTGCCGCCACCACCACCTTCAACCATATCAATGATGGCGGGTGGTGGCAGTACACCAAATAGCGGCGGCACAAGCACCTTCAAGACACCATTACTGCCCATGCCCACGCTCGAGGACATCGAAGGTGGCCTGCTGGCTGTCACCACAGCTAATGCGCCCACTCCAATGCCGGTCGGTATACTCAAGTATCCGAATGCTGCCGCAGCGGCCGCTGCAACTTCGGTGGCAACAACACCGCTTACACTGCCACCATCAACGCTGAGTATGTGCAGCAGTGCCATGGGTCCGGGGCCACCACCGACGCTAATGCAAGCGCCTGCTCTATCGTTACCCGCTTCAACTGTGTCTAGTGGTTATTTGAGTGGTGTTACCAGTAGTTATCAATCAGCGTCACATGCGCAACAACAACAATTACCGCCTGCCACACTCTCTTTAGCCAGCGATATGATGCAGCATCAGACGACACCAATAACGGTGCTTTCCCTGCAGCATTCCACGCAACAAGCGTTACCACCAGCACCGCCGCCCTCTGTGGGCTTACTCAATAACAGCAGTGGTGTTGCGCATGGCTTAAATACGAGCAGCAATGCCAATATGGGGCGTAACAGTCACCAGTCTAACACTGCCGTTAGTATGGGCAGCTCCGGTGGGGCTGCGTCAAGCAGTAACGTGGACTCAAAACGCTCGGCAAAATGCTGCGCCTGTTTCGGTAGTAGCCACTCTTCATCAACAACGAAGTCACAGCATAAAAAGCACCGCAAACAGAAGGCACAAACAATTTGGTCCGCTCTATTAACGAATCTGGGGATCTGTGCTTTGCTGCTAGCCTACACTTTGCTGGGTGAGTGAGAAAAATGACATTAAAATATATTTAAGATTAAACAAATTCCATAATTAAGTAAAGATCCCTTAAGATTTTTGATCAGTTGTTGTACTCTTTTTACAAAAACTAAATACTCGCACCAGTTTTATTTTTTTAACACCCAAGTCATCTTTGTTTTCTCTAAATAAGATCATAATTAATAGAAAGCTAAAGAACAAAACGAAGTTCACAGACAATTTTATAGGGATGGCAATACAAGTAAGTTCGGAAATTCCCACATACTACAAAGTGTCGCTGGTTTAAGTCAGATGGGACATGTTGTCTGATCATCAGCCATCGAAGTTCCATTGTAGAATACATAAGTTTAACGTTTTCATTGACTTGCCGAAAATTTAAGATCTCTCCAGTTGTTTTTATATTGAATCCGTAGGGATAAAGTTTGTAATATATGTCACTTTTTTCAGATTCTCAGCTTTCAATACTATTTTTTGATCGAATTAACCTGATCTCCGATGTTTTACCACTCAAGTGAACTGAGTTCCAGTTAACAACTAGAAGTTTTGAGTAGCTACAAGTTTGTTATCGCATCTTCTTTTTACCCACTACACTCAAAAATCTAACCCAGCTAATTTTAGGTATATATATATATATATATATATGTATACACTTTAATGGTTCAATTACAATTTTTGGATATTTAACTTAGTCACTCCTTTGTTTTCGGCATACCGCGGGATTTTATTATACAAGTGGAAGATCCACAATGTTTGAAGTATAATTCCATACCAAAGCTTTGAGTGTTTTTCGGATTCAGCACTTATTCAGCTTAATGAAGTAATAGCTGAATAAAGCGCTGAATGCCAAAACGCCTGACAAATCTGGAATAATGTGCCAACTTTAGCCTGATTTCGGAAAGTATCAATATTTATTTATTTGAATTACTAAACACATTTATCGGAAATGGATTTCGTTTCGGAGAGATGTATTCTAGAGCTCGTCGCTTATACTCATTTGGTGGCAGCAATATTCGCCTCGTAAGTAAAGGTATTTGAGACTGTAAACCTATTGTTTATTTCAAATATTTCGTGACTCTATATCTTTTTAAAATTTTGGATCCATTATCAATATCGAATACCGACGATATATAATATGTATTATATGTCATTATTTTTGCGTTAAATTGAAGTTTTTATTTAAAATAGTTAGAATGATCGGATTAAGGTCAAATATGATTCGTTTTGATCGATAGCTTGTGGTCATTTTAAATTTGATGTCACTGTGATAAAAACCCTTGTTCCTATCTTCAAAAAACTAGAACAGTCGATTTTCAAAAGCTGCTATCGTTCAAAGCTGGCCGCTTCTAAGCTTTCACTTAACGTTGTCATAAGTGACACACTTTTCATGACGAGTAAGCTACATCATTTTCTCTAGTGTCTAATCTCAAAGCATGAAAAAATACGCGCAAGTCTCAACTTGAAATTTAAGTCTGGAAATAGCAGAGTTCCGCTTTTGTGAAATTTACTGCTACAGACTGTCAAAATTACCTGTTTTAGCTCCAACAAGCTTAAAATTGCCGTTCAGCTTCTCATGGATCTAGTCAGGAGTTATTCGGTGTTACAAAGAAACTCCACAAAGCGTGACCTTATCTGACAATAGCCTTATTAGAACAATTTTTTTATTATCTAATAATGTGTATGTCTCCCTAAGTGGTAGTTTGGCACGCAATAGTATAAGGCTCAGCGTTTCTAAAATTCTTTTACAAAATTTCATAGCCATGCCTTTAATGAAATCAAATCACGTAAAAATTCCATAAATACGAGTACAACATAATAAAAATTATTTGTTTCCAAGCACAACGAGGCTGCCACCCAATCACAATTTATGCAGTGACATACACACTGAGACAGCCAGCGCTTCAACACTTTCGCATACAAATTACCGCTAATTGTGTACATCGTTCAAGCAGCAGCGGCACTCGTACTAGCTCAATTACAAATTGTTATAGTTGAAGCAACTTTTGCAAACTTAAATGTGCAACATTGGACAACAGGACAGCTATTAAGCGTAATACGTGACGCTCAAAGCAATTAAACTTGCGCTGCCAAGTGTAAAAATGCTTATAATTTTCAAATCTTACAAAGTACCAAAAAAAAAAAGAAAACAAAAAAAAATAAAACCTGAGAGTGTAAGAATGAGAAATGTGGCAGAGTGTGGCAAAATCTACGAAGGTCATAATAAATGCTTGTCTTACAGCTGGGTATCACTGGGTATCAACTTAAGACAACAGTAGCAAGTCAACGCCGTCCACAACCACAAGTTGACCAACTTTAAATAGTCAATCTTTCAGTACGCAGAGTCATGTCATACAACTTCGGGAGCACTCATACAAAATAGCAATAACGATTATGTTGTCTCAAGCACTTGTGTTCACTTTCGCACGCTTGCTGCGTTAATTAACACTTACAGGGACTTTAAACTTTACACATGCATTTATATATATATACTTGTATATATTAGGGTGCTTCAAAATTTTTTTTTAACTCTCAGCCACTTGAATGTTTCTATTTAATTCACAAATGCTTTGCTTAAAGCATAAAAGAGAAAATGATCTTTATCTTGAGTTTGATCGGGAAGTTTGTATGGCAGCCTTATGCTTTAGTGATCCGATCTGAACAATTTCTTCGGAGATTATACCATTGCTTTAGACAATAATGCATGCCGAATTGCTTGAAGATATCTCATCTAATAAAAAAGCTTTCTATACAAGCACTTGATTCCGATTAATCGGTTTGTATGGCAGCTATATACTAATGTTATTTGATCGGGACAATTTCTGTAGAGATTGCGCCATTGTCTTAGGCAATAATCTGTGCCAAATTTCTTGAAGATATCTCGTCAAATGAAAAAGATTTTCATAAAAGCACTTGATTCCGATCGTTGGACGTATACAAAATTTCAAGTCGATATCTCAAAAACTAAGGGACTAGTTCGCCTATATACAAACAGACGGACAAACAGGCTAACATGACTCAGCTCGTCATTTGATCATTTCTGTATGTATATTTTATAGGATCTCCGTCGTTTCCTCCTGGGTATTACAAACTTCGTGGTGAACTTAATGTCAAGGTATAGAAATCCTCACCAAACATTCCATGTTGCTCATACGACATGGTATACTATTTGAATGCAAAACATTTGATGTATAAATTTAACAGCGCATAACTTTTTTTTGTAGAGCAAAAATTTTGTATTAGAATATTTTTTTTCACAATTGTAGATTTATTTATTTTGAAGCAAAAAAATGTATTAAGAAATCCCATGAAAAATGTATGGAAAAAGTACAATAATTTAGACACGGTTTAAATTGAAAATAAAGAACTTGTTTTGGTTGGATCTATTTCCTTTTGGACAAAAACTGATACTTCAGGTAGCGACTGCAAAAACAATCAACTTAGAAATAACGGACACCTTAATAAATATATATGTGTATAGCATATATACAAAAAAAGACGAAGAAGTAATATAAGATTTCTTCCACTACTACTTCTTCTTTTATTGCTTACTTTTTATATTACCACGAGCACTTCACTACAACTACCGTTAGTTCCTGATTGTGTGGTGTGCATAGTTTAATGAGTGTGAGCATGCTTTAAAACTTGAAGTGTGCACAGCTTGTGTACTCTACATGCCAACAGATTTTTAAGCAGCTACAGTGGTTGCGCTAGCACAGCTAGTTTGTCAAGTCCACTCCCAGCCGGAGCATGGCATTAAAAATATAATAGTTGAGCATACACACTTGTCTAACTATATAAGTATATAACCAATGTGACAACCCTTCTTGCGCTGGACTATTGTCGTTAGCTCCATTTACTCTACAAATATAACATTTGGCACGTTTATACATATACACATGTATATATATATATATGTGCGTGTGCTGTTTTGTGTAAGTAACTCATCAACGCTTATCTACTCTTGTTTACTTGACAGCAGCAGCTGGCTTTGGAGTGCTGACAGTTAGCCTCTCATGCACTGTGTGCTTAGAATGTACAACAAGGGTGCTCTTGAGCATTTTACTAAGTTTAGTAACTTAGCGAATTTTTTTCTATAACTTTTTCTTAATCTTTTCGGCTAAAACTGACATGCTTGAATAGTTAAGCTTTTTCAATTCGCCGAAACCTTTGAGAGTGGCGAATCGAACAAACAACTGGTATAAAATAACCGCTCTTGACCTTATAAAATCTGGGTGTGTGGATTGGGTATAAACCAAATTAACTGGTATAATAAATTCGAAACGAAATGGTAAGTGTTTAAACCACTTTAAGGAGGAATCTACACACTTTTCTGTAACAAATTAAGCTGGTTAACTTTGCCTTGCTTCACATGTAAGTACCTTGGCAATATCACAGAGCTCAAACATAATGAATAGAAGAGGCTATAACAATTAAAACGAGTTCAAGCCTATCAGCTCCAAACACAGTCTGAATTTATATTTTTGAGTGAATTTTTCTAACAGCGAGCGCCATTTGCTGCGCAATATAAAAACTCCGCGTGTAAATTTAACATAAAAATTTCGATAGTATAGCAGATAACATCAGACAAATTAGGAACTCATCAGGTACAAGCCAAACCATAATTTTCAAGCCTAATGGCTTTCAGCATTTTTTCAGATTAAAATATAAAAGCTGAATAATGTGCTGAATGCGAAAACATATGGAAAGCATAGTATAGGATAGCACTCGCGAATGTAAGCGGTAGCGAATATAATACAAATCTAATGTAAGTTCAGGTATTGTGTAATAAAATATGACATATATAACCTGGTGATGCTTCTAAGATGAGAGCAAGGTATAGCTTGTGCATCATAAATGAAAGAAAAAATCATTAAATCAAACCCCATATCCTACTTTTCACGCCTAATAGGTTTTAGCACTTATTCAGCTAAAGATAGTAATAGCTGAATAAAGCTGTGAGTGACAAAGTGATTGGGAAGTTTGGTATGGAGTTGTAAATATAATCCAACACAGACATAATTTTTAGTACTTTCCTGTAAAATCATCAAAAACCCTCCCTGGTTGTGCTACTAAAGTGCGAGGGATAATTCGATTGGATAGAATATATCTTTGGAGAACTGAAATCGCTTCTTCATCACAAATAGAGGAAGAAACTCACAAACCATAGTTTTCAATACTAATTGCTTTCAGTACTTATTCAGCTAATGGTGAGGATGGTGAAATAGATGTTGAGTTTATCAGAGAATATTTCTGAATCAATAGCTTGAATCTATAGAGACCGTCAGCTTATGAAATGGAGAGGAGCATTTTCTATCGATCTTTTTTAAGCAAGAATGAGTCTTTATAAATTGAAACAATAAGTATTATATAAATTATATTAGTACAGTTGGATCTATAGTAAAGGAAATGTGTGGTGAGTTTGATAGCAAGGAATATTTTCGGCTCTTTCAAGGCGAAAACTCTAAGCGAAAATCACGCAGAAATCATTTCGAAGGCTTTTGTGGCGAAAATAGTGATTTAAAATGTGCATACATTTTTCTCAGGCCCTGTTTAATAATTTTAGACTGCAAACTGCAAATTTTTGTTGTAAATATAAGCATATTTATTAGTCTTAAAGACTCCACCCGACCGATCGTTGTTCGCTTTGGCGTAAGAAATAGATTGAGGCAAAGATTATAAAGGAGAGAGGAGGTCGAACACCGCACTCTCATAGATCAACCTTCTTACCAGTTTTGTTAAAGGAATTTTCATGCAAACATTCACATAATTCAAACCACTGTACTTTGCAGAGACCTGCTTTAGTAAGCATTAGTGCTTATTCTCTCACTATTAAAGCCAAGTACAATGCGATACCAAAGTTGATGGCACGAGTACACAAGAATAAACCTGGAAAAAATCACAACTACTACTAACAACACCAACAACACTAACAATAATAGAAATGACTACTACTTATATAAACCATTGAAGCGCATATTCCACTACTAGTGCCAGACACTTCAGCAACACTTGACGCTTCCGTTTGGACCCTCATTATCGCACACAATGTCTAACCACTGCACACTGCTTCCACATACCTTCCACGCGTTATATTGTGTTTGTGCACCTTAGTTATGCATACCGGGAATTCATCTTCATTTCCCTTATCAACAACAAGGCACCAACAACAATAACTATATAAGCAACACATTTTTTCTCACATTTACCTCCACTGCTTTTCTATTGTCATTCACAGGTTCATTCATATTTCTAACAATCGAGAGCGAAGACTCAACGTTTCTGCATCATCATAATCACCATCATCATCCCAGTCATCATGCAGTGCTGCAGCGACAACGCCAACAGCAACAGCAGCAACAACAACACACACTCGCTTCCACTAAACGTGGTGGCGGTAATATGGAAAATATTTATCACACTTCACCCGCACAAATGCATCTGGACAATGCCACAGCATTATCGTCACAAAACGCATACGCCCCTCATGGCGACGCCGCCGCTGCTGCAAACGCTGCAGCATCATTATCTGGCACGACTGCTTATTCTTCTACGTCAAATGTTGCTTCCTCTGCCGCCAATGCCATGCTCGAGGGCATTGTACCGTTGAGCGATGAGCATGGCGACACGGGCGTTGTAGATTTCAGCTATGGTGATGAACTGCTCGGCGGCGTTGGCGTCACGTCGGCACAGTTAGCGCTGTCGGCGGACACGCAGGAAGTGCGACAGCGCACCATTGAGAATATCTGGGATATAACGGTGTCATTGAATATACTCTACAAGGAGAATTGGACGAAGTAAGTGAATAATGAAGATTTATGATTTATTAGTGTGTGCATGAGTTGAGGTATGGTATTTGCAATGGTATGATTTTGATTTAGGGTACTTTAATTAGTGGTGGGGTGATATGTGTGATAATGTTTGCCAAAAAGCTTGAAATATTGTATGGTATATATTCTAATTGTAGGTATATTTTAGCAGTGTTTTGGCAACAATACGGGTCGTTAGTGTACATTTACGTAAAAACAACTTGTTGGAATTGCTAATATTCACACAAATTACTCTTTCTTAAAAAAAATAAAAAATACTTTAAAATTATAAAAACAATTTTTTTTTATTTATTCACAATTTTATTTAATATCTCAAAACATTACCAATTGTTAATATATTACCACTAAATACTTTAATTTAGCTATACAATTATATTTTCTATATTAAATGATATGACTAAACACTAAATTGTTTTTGAGTATTTTTACTTATCTTAATAATTTTTTAATATTTTTGCCGTTAATCTTTTAGTTTTTTTAATATTTGTATTATTTGTTTCCAATTTTAGAGAGTGATTCTACAGTGCGTATGAGTGAGATCTTCTTTTAACATAGAAACTTTACACTGAATTTCAATAAGGCATAGACTAAAGAATGTTTAATATATTTTCAAAATTTTTTAATAATTTTTTTTTAATTTTTTCTATTACATTTTAATTTTTTAACGTTTGCATAATTTGTTCTCAAGCATTTGATTAATCTACAGTGCGTATGAGCAACAATTTGCAAAAATCTGTTACTTTACGTTTAATGCAAAATATTAATAAATTAAAAAGCTAGAATTGTTAAATTAGACATACATATATACTGATATATTTATTGCTTTTTATTAATTAATTTTTTTAATTAGATATTTATACCCTGAACAAGGTATATTAAGTTTGCCACGAAGTTTGTAACATCCAGAAGAAAATGTCGCAGACCCTATATAGTATATACATGAATGATCAGCACGATGAGCTTGATTTAGCCGTGTCCGTCTGTGTGTCTGTATATATACGAACTAGTCTCTCAGCTTTGGAGCTATTGATATGAAATTTTGCACCTGTCCTTTCCTCACTAAGAAGCTGCTCGTTTCTCGAAACGGCCGATATCGGACCACTATAGACCGCTATTTCGCATTTGACGAGGTATCTTAATGAAATTAGGCATGAGTTATTGTCTAAGGCAACAATGTAATCTCCGAAGAAATTGTTCAGATCATATCACTATATCATACAGCTATCATACAAACTCAGCGAACGGAATCAAGTGCTTATATAAAAAACTCTTTCATTTAACGAGGTATCTTCACGAAAGTTAGCATGGTTTATTATTTAAGGCAATAATGCAATCTCGGAAGAAATTGTATAGATCAGATTACTATAGCATATAGCTGGCATATTAACTGAATGATCGGAATAAAGTGCCTGTATGGAAAACTTTTTTATTTGACGAGGTAGTATCACAAAATCAGATCGGAATCAAGATCTTGTTATGAACCTTAATATTTGTGAAGGGCATTATAGCTTCGGTGCAACCGAAGTTAACGTTTCTTCTTGTTTTCATTAAATGTTATTGCATATATCCAGTTCATTTTTTTTTATAACTTAGCTAAATACTTTTTCAAGTACTTTTTATGAGTCAGTAGTAGCAGAATGGCTTAGTTGAGCTCTTTTAGAATTTATTGAACCCAAAACCTTTACAACAAAAATTATTTACTTTTGACTTCATATGGTATATAAAAGAAGCAAAATCTACAAATATGTAATTGTTGTGTATTGTGCAACTTGTTATCAGTTAAGTGTACATTGAGGGTAATACTAAATTTTTTCAAATGAATTCAAATTATTTTTCATATATATAATTTTTTTTTATAATGTTTATATGGTTTTAAAATCGTTAACTTGTTTTTTTGGTATATAAAAGTTTTATAATTTTAAAATTTTAATCTTTTACTTTCTAAATTAAAGTTATTGTTATTATGATTTTTTTTTGGGTTTATTCTTTTGGCTTAAGTTTTTTTTTTTTAATTTTTAGAACTGTTGAAATTTTATAGTTGCGATTTTTAAATTGTTTGTACATCCTACTTTCGATTATTATTTTTTTTTTGTTTCCATTGGTTTACTTAATTTTTAAAATTTTTAAATAGTTTTATTATTTTTTAATTTATTTGTTAATTATAAATTTTTCAAAATGCTTGAAACTATATAGTCATATAATTTCATTTATACATTATATTTAAAATTTTATTTTATATTAATTTTTTTTTTATATATTTTTTTGTTTTAATTTCTCTTTTAAATTTGTTTTGACTTTTTAATTTTTTATATTTAGAAATTTTAAAATTGTTTGAATTTAAGTGTTGAAAGTGTCTATATATTAACCTTTTTACATAAAAATTACTAGTTCATGAATATCTATGTATGCACTTTTGTTAATGTCTTACAGTGCGTATACGTAACAAATTACCGGAAGTAGGTATTGTATTTATTATAACTCCTAAGAAGCAAAATTGATAAGCTACACCTACATATATACAACTACTTACATATATTTTAATACTATATTATGTGAGCTTATGTCTCGACTGGCATATCGTAGACTAACATAAAAATTATGAAAATACTAAACATATATTTTGAACTATGGTATAATGAGCTGGAAACTGGTCTGTATTGCGGCGAATTCCAATATTTCTTAAGAAATTGAAAATTATATATTTAATTCTTGCAAAAGGTTTTATTTTAAAGAATTTTTTAATGTTATCAGTGCACTAAAAACCGAAAAGCGTTTAAAATTCATTTTCAAATGCATTAATAATTCAGCTTCTGCTATATAGGAATTGCATCACATTTCTTACTTATTTTTTCTTTTTATCAATTCCCCAAATACTTGTAGGCTAGCCGCTTTGGAAATTGCCAAATTTCAAGACCAATTAATCAAGAGACTGAATGAGGATGCGCTACTGCAATTATCACATGAAATGGATGGCGGCATCGTTGCTGGCGGCGGAAATGGTGCGGCGATTGCCGGTAATAGTCCGGCTACGGAAGCTGTGCTACTACATACACACGGCGGTCAATACGGTCATGGTCATGGGCCGCACGAATGGAATTTCGCCAAAGCGTTTCTCTACTCGCTCACCGTACTGACGACAATTGGTAAGTTTTTAGTGGCAGTTTTTAATTTAGTAGCATAGCAAGAGGATTTATAAGCTTATAGTTAATTACTTTTTTGAAAAATGGAGGTGTGCTACTAAAAGCTTTTAGTTGGAAACAATTAGAGTGTAATTTGATTAAATCGTACAATCTTACTGTTTTTAGTTCTATCTTTCTTTGCGCAAAACTTAATACTCGGCTTTCTCCAATTCCATTTACAGAACGAGCTCAGCATCAGCTCAGTTATATGCACTTACATCGGCGATTGAAAAATGTTATCCGTATGGTATTTGGTTATTGTTAGAACCAATATCTATTAGTTATATTTTCTAAACAGTTCAAATAAAATCATTTTTCTGAGACATACATATTTGAAATAGCACACTGAAAAATTAATGAAATAGCGACCATCAAAGTCATTAACTTTGACACCATAGAGGGACAGCTATCGCTTTAGAAAATTCTATATCAATACTCACTTATATATGTGTATAAGAATTTCAACTTTTCGCACATCTAGCTCTGTTGAGTTGCACTGGGGCATCGGAATGAGTACGCACCTGTTTTCCTTGACAGCTGGTGTGACAGCTATCCCTCTAGGAAATTTCATTGCAAAAAAAACTTTCTTCCATTTAAGCTTTGCAAGAAGCTATCAACCTTTCACGCCACTAACTCGACTCAATTTCACTCTGCCGTAGAGTTATGGTTGTAAGAGTTTAATTTGGCAGCTGATTTGACAGCTATCCCTCTAGGAAATACTATAATAAAACTCAATTTATATATTTAAGCTAGCCGCTTTTATGTTTTTATGCTAGGAGCTAAGTGGAGTTCCCTTTTTTTATAGAATTAAGTGTGCACGAGTTTATTTTGACAGCTGATTTTACAGCAAGTCCCCTAAGAATATCCATATTAAAACGCATCTTTTATATTTAAGCTATGCTAGAAGCTATCAACTTTTCTTTTCCTTAATTCGGTTCAATTCCACTTTGTCATAGAATTAAGTGCGCTCGTATTTACTTTGACAGCTGATTTGACAGATGTCCCTCTAGGAAATTCTACATCTGCATGTAAACTCTCCCGCCTAGTTTGTTGTAGGTTATGATCGATTTTTAGAAAGATATTACAACAAGTTTACCAGAAAATTGTTTGGAAACAAGTTTCTTAAGGCTGATCAACTTTACTGTATAATTAAATCTGCACTAAAAGCATCTGTACTATCGAAGTAAAAGCGATATTTTTACAAAAAAAACCATCACCGCTGGTATACTACAACATCCTTTAGATTACCACTATAAGCTTTCGACCGGATACGTATTAAACTATAATATAAACTCGTCGACCCCAACATGTTATCTCACAGAGTTTCTACATGAATTTTATTCCCTTACCCATCCCACCTGCAAAAATGTTGTCTCAAACAGTATCTAATATATGCACAGAAGTAAGCTCTGAGCGCCTTAGCTAGAGGGCAAGCATACAACCTAGTAAATATATACAAAAGCATGTGAATAACATTTCCACACCCACAAACGCAGCGTGAGGTATCGTAAATTTTCATTTATGTCAATGACAATAATGGCCAATAATGGCATACAGTCAGAGTCAAGTAAAAATAGAATAGCTTATAAGTGGATGTGTGTGTGTGAGTATATATGTATGCGTGTATGTAATTGAGCATTTGCCTTTCCGTATATGCCTTTATTGTTTTAACACACATACACACTAAAAATGTCTCAACACCACTTCTCGTTCCATACAACAGACATTTAGGAACCCAATAAAGACAACAATTGTGTGGGAGAGATGCCCAGTAAGGATATACGCAACAAACAATAAAGTATCTTCATAATATATTTGCAAATTGCCAATATCAGCAGAATTTTTCCAATGCTGCTTTTTCTTTCAATTTGCAAATTTACTACAGGCACACGCATTTACTAACACACATACCTAAATTCATACACATAGATGCATATAAGTACGCAGAGTGGCTTATTGTAGCTTAACAGCCTGTACATCTGCATACATTATGCCAACTGCTTTGCTGTTTCCCGTAATGTAAGCAAAAAGTATTTTCTTCAATTCTTATACACAATGCTTTACTGTATGTTTTTGTTTTTGTTTTTGTTTTTGTTGTTGCTAACAATTCTAAAGTATTGCTGTTGCCTGGTAGTTTTGTAGCGCCACGTTCCAATAGTCATATATATTGATGTTTTTGCTGTTGTAGTTGTAGTAATTTGTTAATAAATAAAAATGCAAAGCATATGCACAGGCGCAAAACCAACTGGCATTGAACTTTGTATTTCATGACTCTGGCGTCAAGCTTTTCAGCCGTAAAAAATCACTCGCAGTTGAACAACTGCACAAGCGAAGCAATAAACAAATGCAATTGTAAGTAATGCGTATTACAACAAGAACAACAAAAACTACTACTACTACTATAAAGTATTCGTAGTTTGTGAATTAGTTCGTTCTACTTCTTTGTATTCGGTTTTTATTACGATTTTTGTGTTGTAAACACTCTAAACAATTAAAAATGAACATATGGCGAGCAGCTGATATATACATAAAATATATATGTATACATAAAAGCATAAAAGAAATTAGTTTTATACTGAAACTTTAAGAAAATAATCTTTTGTTGTAAATTACCATGTATTTACTGCTAAAAAAAATAATCTAGTACATTTTTATATACTTATCAACCCGATTTTTATATTGGATTATATCAGCAAACATTTAGTTAAGTAAGATTTACAGGATTTCCACTATAAGAAGTAAAATGTGTTTTGTGAGCATAGATTTTGGAAAAAAATGTCACGCTGCAAATCATGAAAGCTCCTAAATAATCACTTGGATCGTAATGAGCTCAGATAGGGTTAATAACTAAACTAAAAACGTTTGGTGACTTTATAGCAATAAACTTTGAAAAATGTTGGTTCTTGATCTCAATTGGTCGAGGCAACTTTTAGTTAACTACTGAGCTAAAGGTAATTTGCCACAATTCAAATATTTCTTGAAGAAAGCAATTTTGGACGAATTATGCTGATAAAATAGGGCAACCATTTTTATAATAAAAGCTAATATATACTTGTATAGTACCGAAAAATCAAGCTTAGCAAGCGATCTGCTTGTCACTCACCACGATTTAACACCATTGGTCTATTTTTGTGGAGTTATATGAAGTCGCTTGTCTACGCAGATAAACCCGAGACGATTGATGGCTTGGTAGAGAATATTCGGCGCGTTATTGCTGAATTTATTCCAGCCAGCCACGGCGGTCACTTGCCCAAAATCATTTTTAAAACATAATATATAATAATGAATGAAAACCACATGTCTAAAAAACTACCCATATTTCATTACTACACAACATCCACGAATTTGTTTTTCTATGTACTCCCTCAAACCCTTATCCACTGACATGTTTTCGCTGTCACTTCCTGTCAAAATAAAAGTATTCAGTCTTTATCTCGAGCCATTAGCTTTGTTTACATTTTTTATTTTTATTGTTGCTTCCAATAAAACCGCCACTTTTTTAACATTAAAGAGTCATAAAAAATGCAAATAATTGAAGTGAAAGTTGAAACAATATATGCATATATGCAAGCTGTGTTATACGAGTACATATAAAATTACATAATAAAAAACAAAGGAGTTTTTCATCTACATACTTAATTTTGCACTCCCTATCGACTGTCGAAATTCAATCAGTCAATATTGTAAATTTTTACTGTTATTGATGTAATTTAAAACAACACAATTGACAGACACCACTACAGTGCTTTTCAAACATTCAAGCGCAAAATTTGTGTCATTTCATGAATATCTTATTGTTTTATTACTTCGCGCGCAAGGAAAGAAAGTAATAAATGAGGGTAATGAAAAAATACTTAACATGAGATAAACGTTCAATTTGGCAAACAGCTAGCCATTTATTATACATTAGCAATATGTGGGGTAAAAGTGGACCATTGCCACGCCCGCAAAATGCCGTTAAATTACAAATTAAGCTACAAAACATAAACTCAGGGCAGAGGCTCAAAGTAAAGAGAAACACCTGTGGGCCAATTTTTTTTAAAAAGTGTTACCATGGCATGGCACCACCCACTTTTAGTTAAAATTCTATATCTCAGCAAGTACTCGACCAATTTGTACCAAAATTAACTTTGCTTTGATGTCAACTTAGTTACTGTTATGACATAATTAAAAACTATATACGATAACTTGCGTTTAAATCGAACATCAAAATTGATATTGGAATAAAATATAAAAAGAATGGTGATTCTAATGTTTGACGCACATTCCGCTTCACTAAATAATAGTGGAAATCACAGAACTAGTATTATCAAGTTTCAAATACCGAACATGAAGACCTAGGGGTCAAGCGAAGTCATGCAAGTGGCATAAGAGTTAAATTTATAAGACAAGCGAGGTCAAGTTCGGAGTCAAGTGAGATCAAACTAGTGGTCAGGCAACGCCAAGCTAGTGGTCAATGAAATTAAAATTTGGAGATAAGCGAGGTAAAGGGCGACAAGCGAGCTAGGGATCACGCGTGGTCAAACTGGGTGTCACGCTTCATCAAGTTAGACGTCACTCGAAGTCAAGCTAACATAGACGGCATTCCAATATAGTATACATAAGAGAGGCCGGAACTAACCGTTTTTTTTAAGAGAGATCGGCATTCTACAGAAAACTTCAAGAATATCTCTGCCATACATAGCAAGCTGCTCCCAAGCACGTTCTGAGGAAGTCTAGAGCTGTTACAATCCTCGAAAAATATCTAAAACACATTAAAGAGGAGAAAACCCCCTACTAATCATCAGGCTTAAAGGGGGGAATAAGCTTACATATATTTCTTTCACTTACAAAAAAAAATCACTCTCTTGTGACACCGCATATTAATTTCGTACTACTTCTTTTCAATTACATATAGGTTACGGTAACATAGCACCACGCACTACGCTCGGCCGTTTGGTGACACTCGTCTACGCTATTTTCGGCATACCGCTTACACTCGTTTATCTCTCGAGTACCGGTGGCATTTTAGCAAAAGTGGCACGTGAGGTATTCTCCAAAGCGTTATGCTGTTGTCTCTGCTCAAATTGCGGCTATTGTTGTTACGATGAAAAGCGTATGGCTGAAAAGGAGCGTCGCATGAAGCGTAAACGACAGCAAGAGGAATTGCGTAAACAGCAGGCTGCCTTGCAGGAACCATATTATGTACACGACTCATACGCCACAGCGGAGAAACAATCAAATTTATCTGGTGGCACACAAATGTTGCCACCCGACATCGATTCGTTGAGTGCGAGTGAATCACGTGGCTCCATGCATGGGCTGAGTATATTGGCGCCGATTTTGTTGTGCCTTTCAATGATGATCATTTACATACTAATCGGTGCGGCCGTGCTATACCGACTGGAAGACTGGCCCATACTCGATGGCATCTACTTTTGTTTCATGAGTTTATCAACAATTGGTTTTGGTGATATGCTACCGGGTTTGCGACGTGAATCTACTGCAACCACATGGTTTTGTTCGATTTATATCATGTCTGGCATGGCGCTAACAGCGATGTGCTTCAATGTTATACACGAAGAGATTGTGCATCGCATCAAAATCGTGGTGGAATTCAAGAAAACGGGCAATACGCTGGATACGATGAGTGAGGAGCAAGGCTACTATATGCCACCTTGACAATTTGAAAAGGGCACAAGCTTGTACAAACGAAATCCCACCGAAGAGACGCTGGTGTCAGGTAATACAAACAGTTAAACAAATTGTTGTTGTTAATTCACTTAAAAATCTCTCTTTTTTGCAGGCACGCCAACTTCACTCGCTTACGGCGCACAGCTAGATACCGATTTAAGTCAGCTACATGCGCTAAAGGACTATGTCAATCATGAGCTTGTTCCCATACTCACCATGGATCCGAACAGCTCGTCAACCACCTCAACACATCTCCTAAAAGGCGCAAATGCGAATGTCATGCCTTTAAACAGCTTGACACCTTACACAAGCGCTACAACCGCGGCTACGGCACCGCCAAGTCTGCTACCGACTGGCGTCGGTCTGACAACTTTGAAAGCACCTCTTTTGGATAATTCCACGTTGTCGTCGCAATCCTGCTTGGATTCATCAATCAGCGGCAGTGCGTCGCAGGCAGTCATGAGTGTTTACACTTTGAGTGAAGAACCCGAAATGGATTCTTAAAATGATTGTATGTAAGTGATTAATAGATATAAGTTTAGCAGCGATTTGAGAACAATGAAAATTTGAGTAAATAAGTGAAAGTGTTAGACCAATCTATAAGCTTACATAGTTAGTAGGTTTGTAAATAGTAAAATTGTATAGTTTGTTCCAGGGTTCTTAAAAACTCTGTTGAGAAGGCGGAGGTATTGCTTAGTTTGCGTAAATATTTCGAGTACGCGTTTTAGTATGACTTACTGGGTATTATGCATCCGACTTTTTTGTGAACTTCGCTATTTGAAGCATACAAGCTGTAAGCCCAGCCCAGAATTGCTTTCCATTCCTTACAGCTTTGCCGTTGTAAATAGAAGAAAATTAGTGAAGTCTGAATGGCTCCAATTCAAAGTTTTAGTCAAGCAACGCTTTCAGCGATTTCTGATCGTAAAATATAAAGAACTCTCTGGAGCCTTATAAAGAACGTAAATGGAAACACATTAGTGAAATTTGAGTGACTCCAGATAAGGTTTCATGACAAGCAGCACTTAGGGTTCTAAACGAAGATACATAAATTAAGCCACTTAAACCAACTCTATATGCAGTTCAACTAAAAGCTACAGCGTCTATAAGCAGAAATATGTAATAATTAGCGGAGAGAAAATCCAGATTCTTGATGATCATGAGACTTTGCACAAATGACTATCGAATTGAAAAAGCTTTTCATAACATCAATCAGCTATTCGAAGCCGGTCATATACTTGTAGATCCCACCATAAAAATACCGCAGAAGAGCGAAAAAACTCGAAAAATACCCTGCAACAGGTATCAGCTTATATATAATGCTGCTGTGTTGGCACCTCTTTGCTCCAGGCTCATTTTGGTTATGTGAAACCGCCAGCGCTTTAAATCCCAGAATTCCTGTCTCAGTAAATAAACAAGTATGTATAAAAATATATTTCAAGGTAGAACCTTTTAATAACTCTTAGATTCAACTGAAATTCGTTAAAACATTATTTTCGTTTTCTAAAGCAAAAGTTGACAACACTGAATTAGCTTAAAACTACATTTTTCTTTGCAAAAAAGTCGGTTGTAGTTTAATGTAAAAGGTTCTACCAGTATAAGGCGCTTAATAACACCACTTACCAGTAATATAAAATTTAAATAAAAATGGCTCATAAAAAAATCGAAGAAAATATCACTAGTCGAGACAATGATAATATTTTTTAGCAGTGCATAGGGGTTAAATAAATTACTTCAGACCATAAACAATAAAAAATAATTAGTATAAATTATAAAATATATAAATAATGCAGACTAATATATAAATTATATAAATAATATGAATATAGGTATATACTTACGTTAGATTTATATGTGTCTGTAGTCATAAAGAGCTGTATATAAAACAACAACAATTGACTTCTTAGCTGTCACTCTGAACTCCAATAAATAGTATTAGTCTAACAATTGAAAATTTATATGTATATTGTGTGGTTCCGCTAAATAATAATAAATAATTACAAATAATTGTTAAGAATTTTTGTACGATTCTTGAAAAATATAAATAACATATTTTGTAGTGAAACTATATAATTAACTTTAAAGAAGTTAGAAGTATCGAATTAACAAACGTACTAAACTACTTTCGCATATTCATAGATTCTAAATCTTTTGTACATGTCAATAATATATAAGTAATTAACTGTACTTTTAGCTCTAAACAGAATGCATAAAAGTAATAAACCTGTAGATATAAAATAAAAACATTTGAAATGTTAGTGAAATAAATGAATGTTAATAGATACATACCTATTAGTTGAATTGAAAGAATTTTTAATTGGAGTATATAAACTTAGTAATATTAAGCGTAACTAATATGTATGTAGTTTAAAGTGAAATTGTAAATTTTTAAAGCAACGGCAGTAATTAAAGAAAATAAAATTTATTAATTGTTAAATAGTATGGAATTTTTTATTTCGCAGAAACGCGTGAGAGGTAAGTGTATAATTAGAAACATTTTTAATTAACTTAATAAAATTGTGTTTAAGTTGTAACGTACGGTTTGGCATAGAAATTGTACGTGATAAATCCGTTATTATTGTTTACTTGCGCAGAGAACGTAGACGTATTTTTCTCATTCAACACTGAAAATGATGCATTCTGCTATTTTTGAGATCCCTGATGTTGATTGAGGTGAAACACGCTAATAATTATCTGCGGTGAAACACGCTCATCGTTTTCAGTTCCCCTTCGAAAATTAAAATATTTTGATAACGGCCGCACCGTGAACCAGAAAACGTATATAATATACGTGCTCTGCGTGAACCTTCTCTATAATTTACGTTCTCTGTCAATAGTTTACGAGCTCTGGCTTTGTGCGCTGATAAGAAACTCTACTTGGCCACACTGCTCGAATTCATTTGTTGACATTTTTTTTTGTATAAAAACCGCGCTTTTTAAATATTTGCATTATAAGTAATTTACAAAAAAATGCAACAGAGAATAGTGATTTATGTGCATAATGCGAATTTAATACAACAAGCAGACAAAAACCCTGCAGTATGGGGTAGGGTAAGCAGTAACATTGCAACATTATGCGAAAATGCTCACTATTATTACTTAAAGGCTTCACTAACGCATACACTGATTGCCTCATATGGACTACTCAAGCATATGCAACGACTGGAACCCAGAATTTGTAAATACGCAGATTTACGTCGTTTTCATAATAGCGCTTATGTGGAAGAGTTGTTAAGGAAAACTGCATTTACTAAAACAAAAAACACAACAAATATATTTTTAAAACAAAATAAACTAAATGACATGTTAGAGGACGCAGCTGTCGCAAGCAGTGATGACGATGACAATGACAGTGTTTTGGACACAACACACACACATATCGAGTATGGTTTGGGCTTCGATTGTCCCAGTTGGAGAGGCATGTGGGAATATGCTTGTACAGTGGCGGGTGGCACAATGAGCGCTTGTGCTGCATTGTGCAAATATGGTGCCGCACACCACGGTGAACAGACTATTATTATTAATTGGACTGGTGGTTGGCACCATGCGCACCGTGATCGCGCCGCCGGCTATTGCTACGTGAATGATATCGTTTTAGGTATCTTGGTGCTGCGTAAACATTTCAAACGTGTGCTTTATATAGATTTGGACGCACATCATGGTGATGGTGTGCAGCAAGCGTTTGAAGTAACCAAACGTGTTTTTACTTTTTCGTTGCATCGTTATGAATGCGGTTACTATCCAGGCACAGGCGGTATAGATGATTGTGGTTTTGGTGAGGGTAAAGGTTATGCAGCAAATTTTCCTTATCAAAGTGGTATAGGCGGTCAAAACTTCTGCAAATATTTTAAACGGTGAGTTGAAGGTGATATGATATACGATATATGAAGTCTGTTACATATCCGTTGTTTTTAGGGTGCTGACAACAATACTACAGTTATACAAACCAGAAGTGTGTGTGATACAATGTGGCGCAGACGCCCTAGTTGGTGATCCACTTGGTGGCACAAATCTTACGCCAGCAGACTTAATTGATTGTGTCGAATTTGTATTAACTAGTAGATTACCAACTATGATTTTGGGCGGTGGCGGTTATAATTTTACGAATTCTAGTCGTTTGTGGACCCAATTGACCGCCAGCTGTTGCGCCGTACCACTGCCAGAAGATATACCTGCTGATAATAGTGATTTCCTAAAATATGGTCCAGATTATAGTGTGCATATTAAGGCCTCCAACTTTATGAAAGACCATAATAATACAGAGTACTTGGAGTTGTGTGCAAATACTATTGAAGGTAAGTCATATATTTAAAAAAATGCACTGAAGACAAACAATTGAAATCATCAGCAAATGTTTGAAAGATCCAAACACAACGCGATGCAATCGTAAATAATTTTATTGATTCAAAGTTCTTGTACATGTACATACGGGGTATTTTTTTATAATGTGCTTACAGATAATCTCCGGAAGTATGACGTAAACGCTGTATGAAACTGAGACATTGCCTTGATAGAATACGAAATTTATATCGACGGTTTACATTTGGCTATCTTCATTTATAGATAGATTAATTTTGAATTTATTTGAATGTATTTATAAAGTATTACTTATAAACTAAATATTAGTGTCCTGCGCTCGATTTTATAACTGTAAACCCACTCAAGGCAAAACAGTGCGTCCACCCCCACCTGCTCCTCCACTACCCTTAAAACGTTTATTTGGCGATGCACTGCCCAATTCTGGTTTGATTCGCGTTGGAGACTGTATGCTACCCGTATTGCCAGCCAAACTACCGCCCGGAGATGAGCCAGTCTGTACTGGATCCTGCAGCCACCTAACCTGCGTCGCCGGTCCGTAGCCCTTGTCATTACGCGCCGCAATGCGGAATATAATAGCTGGCTTGTTTGAGCAATCCACATGTGCTGTTGCCAAGGACGAATGTGCTACTGTACATTGATTAGCTGCACCCACATAGACGCGTACAAATGCAAGTTGGGCTGGTAGGCGTGCACCAGCACCAATAGGCTTACCATCTTTATCTTTGCCTGGTTTTACGGCCAAATAAACGGAGTATTCGATGATTTCATTGGAATTCACACAGCTCGGTGGTGGTTCCCAAGTAAGATGGGCGCCCTCGGATGATTTTGATATTTTAATAGCAGATGGTGCGCCTGGAAAACCGGGCAAACAGGTTTTGAAACTTGATATCTCACTCCAATCACTAGCACCACAAGTATTGATGGCGCGTAAACGAAAACGGTAAGCTGTACCAGGCTCAAGATTAACACGTTGAATTGTTGTAAGATCCGGTAAGTTTCTAGAAGTCAATTTTAAACCAGAAGACGACCATATGCTATTATCAATGTACGAAGAAACCGTAGCATTAAGTCCATTATAAATGCCCACTGTGTGCCATTTAGCATCTTCTTCATCAATAGGTGGCCCTGATGGCGTAGTTGCTACAGCTTCATTTTCTCCCGCAGGCACATTTCCTGTCGGTTGTGGCGGTGGCATGTCAGTGCTTGAAGACACACCGTTGTGTTGATCACTAGCTTGACTGCTAGTGTTCTCATTCCCGTTGCCGTTATCATTCGTTTCGTCAGAAGTTGTACCACCAGCATCTGCACTAGCAGTATTGTCGATATTGCCTTCAGAATTAGCGTTATTTCCTGCATTCGTAATTCCAGCGCTTGATGCAGCAGGCTCACTAGGTTCATCTGTTTCCATTAGAACAGGCGCGTCTGCTGGTGTTTCAGATTCATTAGCCGACCCTGAGGCGTCCATTGATTCCATCATCTGTATTTATAAATATTTTATTACAATTGATAAATTGTTGAAATCAATTTCTTATCGTACCTGCTGCACGTTTCTTCGTTTAAGTGCCGATTGCCTGATACACTGTATATATATATATATATATATATACACTCACTACACAGATTATATATTATTTATATAAAATATGAATAAAATGCATTTATTCCTTTATGTTTGAGAATATATCCATAACACTTTATAGAAAAAGTAAAATTTATTTTTGCGTAAAATTTTCGCAAAGTTGTCATAAATCCCGATTTTGTGTTTGTAGACGCAAACAGCTGTGGCGTGGTAAGTGATGCCATACCTTTAATATTGAAACAAAATTTTACCTTGTGAATTAAACCGTAACGTAGAGCAGAGAACGTTTACCATAGAGACTACTTTCTCTGCGTGATGATGTCTGCATAAATGAGAAGATTTAAGTATAAATAATATCATTAAAATTATTTATTTCACAAGATTAGTTACTACTTTTTAAATAAGTTGAAATATTCCTATACATTTATATAACAATTTAATTATCATTCACGTATAAAAAAATTTATTTACACGATATGTTGAAAAATATAAAAAAAATTGCTATAAAATTAAAATTTTCACTGTTTATAATCTTCTTCAACTGATTTAATAAAATAATTTTTACAATTCATTTATCAAATATATGCATGCGAATAAACAAATTACCAGCAACTCAGTTCAAGTAAAAGAATAATGAAGCCGTTTTAGATATGATGGCAGCACTATTCGGTTTTGTGAAGAAGATGGCGAAACAAAATATAGTATCCACGTGTGGTGTGGTAATCCTAACATTGTTTGTAAACAATAGTTTGAATATCACAGTAGGGGAGAAATGATGTTGGCGACATTTGATAGTTTGAATATAACTGTAGGGGAGAAATGATGTTGGCGACATTGTAAAATTCATGGTAAACCAAATTGTTGTAGACAAAGTTATATATATATATTTTTTGAAATTACTGTTGAGGTAAAGTATTATTCAAACAAAATATGAGTAAACTACTTTCGATGCCTACAGTACATAATTAAATATTTGTTCTAGTTTTTATATTTAACTTGCGTATACCTGCTAGTTGTTGCAGTGAAAATATTACTGTACTTTAAACAACAACCGTTATATGCATACATTTTTCAGTTTAGTGTCGTTGAAGTCATTTTAGTATAGACAAAATTGTAATTTATTAGTGTTTTTTAGCCTTTAACGCAGTGTATCCGCAAACACGCCACGTTAAAAATTGAAAATGAAGTCAAGTCTAAGATGCGCAGTTTTTCTTTTATTGGCTGCCACAAGCAAAACTGCTGATACGAACTGTCCGGCTTTGAATGATGCCGATAATCTCTCACAGACACAGTTAATTGAACGGCTTACACACGGCTGCCGTTATGATCGCCTGGAGCGACCGGTTAGCTATACCGAAATAAATGGCGCACGCCTGCCCATAGACGTTTATGTGCGTGCTTATATTTACTTCATGCAAAACTTAGAAGCGCATGATTTGCAATTTAAAATACACGTGTTACTGCAATTACGATATCTCGATCCCCGCTTAACGTTCCGTAAAGTGGCGCCAAAGCGAAGACAACCTATTTTGGGCGAGAAGCAATTACGAGATACACTTTGGATGCCGCATATATTTTTGGCAAATGAAAGGGATTCAAGTTTACTAGGTAAACTTTTTAGTAATTATTAATATTTCAAGTTAATAACTCAGGTGTGCGTTTATTTTTAATCTTTCTTTATTTTCGTTTTGTATTAGGTACTAATGAAAAGGATATACTGACTTCAATTTCACCCGATGGCACTGTAATCATATCGTCACGCATTAAAGCTACACTCTATTGCTGGATGAATTTGCAGAAATTCCCTTTCGATGAGCAACAATGCAGCACCATACTAGAGAGTTGGATGTATAATACATCTGAACTTGTGTTGCATTGGGAACAAAAGCGTCCGATAACGATCGACCCCGCGCTACACCTAACCGAATACATGCTACATGGTGCTTGGTCCAATGAGACTGTAGTCAATGCCGATTTAAATGATTTGCGGCACGGTGCTTTTGCTGGAAATTACAGCTCACTTAGTTTCACAGTGCATTTAACGCGTGAAGTAGGCTTCTATGTGATGGATTATTTTCTACCCTCAGTGCTTATAGTGGGAATTTCGTGGGTGTCCTTCTGGTTGCAAGCAGATCAAGCGCCACCACGCATCATGCTGGGCACCAGCACTATGCTAACATTCATAACACTGGCCTCGGCACAAGGTTGTAGCGAACAAATTGATTATTAATGCTCGTATATTCAATAATTTATTGTTCTCTATAAATAGGTAAAACTTTACCCAAGGTTAGTTACATAAAAGTTTCGGAAGTGTGGTTCCTCGGCTGTACGCTCTTCATTTTCGGCAGCCTCATCGAATTCGCTTTCGTCAATACAATTTGGCGTCGCAAACGTAATGTGGATGTGAAAAAACTGAATAGCAAGCATATACTCAAATCAACATTGTCGCCACGCGCCAAACGACGTGCTACTGGACGTTCGCGTTCCTTCTGTGTGCCGCCGGCAACAACACAGAAAGAAAACGATCCATTTAATAATTATCTTACGGTACACAATATACCGATACACACGATACATGAGCATGAAGTTGTGGATAATCTATCGAAATCGACTAGTTTCAGTAGCACAACATTAAATGCTGGTGAAAAAACAGATTTGGGAAACGTTGAAATGGGCGAGGAGCATCACAATAATGGCTGGACCACGCTCACACCGCAAGAAATATCCATGTGGATCGATCGCAAAGCACGTTGTGTATTTCCTTTAGCTTTTTTAGTTTTCAACGCATTCTTTTGGACATTTGTCTATGTAGTTTAAATGCGGTTTTAATTTGAAAGCTACCGGTACGCTTAAATGTTCTTAGCTTTTTTAATAAGGTTATTTAACTGCTGCATAAAACTTTTTAATTAACCTAAGGCTAACTGTAATAGTTTTTGCTGCCGTCTATGTGTGAAAAATTTTGTTTTGTTGTGTCAAATTTATTTTCGCTCTTTAATTTTGGAATTTAATTTTTTTGTTTACTTTTTAGCACTCGAACACGTTAAAAAATTCATTGTTATTAAGTTTTTGTAAACATGTTTGCCCTGTATAATTTAACTATTTTAAAACCAAATAATTTGTTATTACTATATCCGTTACTAACATTATTTTTTAAATTTAATTATGTATATTTTAAAAATTGTGTAATACAAATCGTAAATGCTTTAGGAATCTTAGGTTCTACTTAAAAGTAAATGTGAATTTTTGTTCGTAATTGCAACTTGCATTTCTACATACACACATACAAGGTTGCACACTTATTTTACGCTAATGAATCAAAGCTCTTTGTTTGCATCATATTTGCCTGCATCGCCTTTCTGCTTCGACCTTTGTTGCTTATTTGGCTGTTTAGTTGCTTGAGCTGTAACATCAATATCATCATCGTCGTCGTCGTCGGTATCATCTTCGCTTCCCGCAGGCGGCAATGTCTCCTGCAAACACTTACGGTCATCTTGTGCCAACACTGCGTCCTCACAAAGATGTGCTATCAGTGTTTTATCGTCTTGATGCTTGAAATACCAATCGGTGATTACTTCCTCATAGTTCTCAAGCAGATTTTCACATTGCGTCTTCATTTGTGTCACTTCCACGGGCGGCTTATCCCACAATTCATATGGTATGCCCAAATCGACTTTCACACCTTTGTCGACGAGTCCATGCAACGCTTTGAAGGTTTGTGACATGCCTTTGGCAAAGCGTGTGCTATCTTTGCGCTCCTTGTGTAAATTGTATTCTAAAACACGTTCGCAAACATTTTCCAGTGACTCGAGCAGACGCAATTCGCTGCGACGATACGCGGTGCGCTTCTTTGGCTTCACATCGTCAAGCGAGTAGCTATAGACAGGCGTTATTTTTTAATTTATTGAATATATATTTGTAGCCTACCCCATTTCGATGACATCGTGTGATTTGCCCGTTTCCTTGAGGCGCTCCTGCAGTTCGGTGGCTAATATCTTGCAAGCTTCACAGCGATTAGCGAAGCGCACACCCTCGTTTTCCTCAGATCCTGCATGCACCAAGCACACAAGCAATGAAAATATTACTATTACTTGCCGCAACAGCATAGCAACGACTTGCTTGAGCGATTTCTAATAATTCAATTAATTGTATCTATACAACTGCTTCCTTTGAATAAATTATTCTGCGAATGTAATTTTCTGCAGAAAAAAACAACAAAATCTGACGTGTTGTTTACCGGCGCACGACAGTTGCCATATTATGACAGTTCGATTGGTAAGGCAGTGTATGTGCATATGTTGGCAAGGTAGTACTCCCGGTTTGTGTTTGCGCTACCCTGCTATAACGACAGTTTTTGTATGTGGGGCTTTTTCAGCGGCGATTGCTTACTTGTCACTTCTGCGCGCCTGGTGCAATTCCCGAAAATTTCTATTGGCCAGAAAGCACACGACGGGGGTGGTTCAAAAAATGCATATGCGCTATTTCTTGGCGTAGTATAGCAATATGGGTATCAAATTGAAGGGAATCGAATGGGCTGTCATAAAATGAAAATATTTAAATTAAACAGACAAAATTGAAAATATTTTTTTTTTATTTGTAAAAACTTTATTTTATATTTTTATTATTGCATTAAAAATGACTTTTAGACACCTATGAGCGTGTTTTTGCATATTGCGAATAAAATTTACCAGAATACAAATTATTTTTATATATTTTTTTTGTGCTTACAAATATGTTCAAAATTTTTACATTGACTTAAATTATTCATAACTAAAATCAAGAATATATTTTTACTTAAATATACGTGTTAGATTAAAACTTTTTGTTTTTATTAATACAATTTGTAAAGTTTAATTTATAAATAAATTCGTTACTATTTTTGTTGCCTTTGGCTTTTGATGCGATTAATTAGCTTTTCAATGCTACAGATCACAGGACATGCGCTCCAACTTTAATTGTTGTTGCTGCTGCTGCTGTTGTTGTTGCAAGGCATTTGCGATCGGCAAACAGAAATCAATATTGTTGATATTGTTGTTGTTGTTGTGCCCGCTGCCATCCGCATTACAAATACCACCAAAATTAACAGGTGAGCTTTGGCCTCCGTCCAACTCGTCTACAATTTTTATGAATTCATTGTTGTTATTGCTTTTGTTGCTATTGCCAACGGTGCGACTGCTAGCGGCATTGCTGTTGGCTTGAAAACCGGCAAAGGAGCGCACCTGCAAGAATAGGCCACTATTGAGCAGACGAGCTTGGTGTTCCTGCGCTTTGGCGCGCAGACAGGCAATCGAGTTGTTGCTGCAAGAGCAAAAGAAAGGAAATTTATATAGATTTATGAAAATTTAATTAAAAGCAAAGCATAAACGCACCGAAATGTGTCCGGATCATGATCGAGCGTTGCGTATGCAGCCGACGCGCCTCTTCCATGATGATGTAAACCGCCTGCGCCACTAACCGCTGCACCACTGCCACCAGCCGTAGTGGCAGCACCACTTGCTGCAGCGGCCGCCGCCGCCGCTGCCACCGCCGTGTTCATAATCATATGGAAATCTTTGCTTGTGGCCGCACCAGCGCTGGCATTGGCCGCATCCATGAGCGGGTGGTAAGAGGGTTGTACGGTAGGCGGCACTAGCGCTTGCTGAAACAAATGTCGCTGATGTTGTTGCAGCGGTGATAGTTGTAGTGCCAGTGATGCGTTTGACGCATGTGATGACGGCGGTGAGGGACTGCTCAAATCGATGTGCGGCGACGATGATGAAGCTGTGGTGGCGGTTGGTGTGGTCGCATTGGAGGATATGTGCGAACGCTCAAGCGTCGGTCCCGGACTAACGACATTCAACGACTCGGTGGAGGAGCTGAGACGTTGCGCTTCATCGTTGGACTTCGAACCAGCCGAGTCCTCGTGATCGCTGACGCCGGAATCATCTTTGAATGTCTGTTGGGCTTCTATCGATTTGCGATGCATGCCTAGTGGGTTGGAGGCAGGACATTAGTATGAAATTATAATATGCTGTTAAAAATTGTAAAAAAAACAAGTTTTAGTAAATTAAATAATTACAAAATAGGAATGCGTGGCAGTTTCTTCTTCACTACTCTTACATAAGATCACTGAGTCCTTAAAATACACATCCCACGACAGTCGAGTCTACGTAATTGGAACCGATTCGTATCGTTATGCGGACAAGGACGACTAATATGTGTAACGGTAATATTTTATTTCGCAACAACAACAAGAACGACCACAATCAAGTCTACGTAACCGGAACGAACCCGCCTTTTTATCCGCCCAAGGACTGTCAACTTGGCGGAATTTTGCCGCTAAAACAACAACAACCTATTTTGCACGAATTTCAGCCATTCTTATACAACAACAATAGCAATTTAAACAACGCAATATTTTATTGAACCGTTAAGCCTCTGTCCCTCCTTCCAAGCACACAACAACAATACACATATGCCATTAGCTGAGATCTTAACTGTATTCTTAATGTCTCTTCATTATTAATTTCTAATTAGAGAGAGAGAGAGAGAGAGATGTCAATATAATGCGACTCATAATCCCCCACCCCTCCAATCCACATATACGAAATGAGAATTTGAAAACGATTTTAATTGAAATTATCAAAGCGATTAAAGGACATAAATTAAAGGCGGTGGAAAATTAAAAATTTCAAGCAGATTGCGAAAAGAAACGAAGGCGCACGTATGTATAGTATATATGTATGTACGTAGTAGAATTGTATTGAATAGCAATGAAATGCGGCCGGGTACTTATGGTGGGCGGCCACAGCGGGTGGTTGGGTTGGCTGTTTTGACAGCAGTTAATAAATGAAATAAAATAAAACGGAATTAAATGAAAATTGCCATTTTAAATCCACGTTAAGCTACTTGAAGTCAACAAAGACGCGTAAACGCACACACACATAACTACAAAAATGTTAAGGATATAAGTACATACATACATACATACATAAGTATTATGAAATTATATGAATAAATAAGTGCAGCTAGCTGGTTGCCTCTAAAGTGGGCTTACAACTTACAACAAAAACAACAAATATATGTACGAACGAATATATTTGAGAGGCGGGGTAGAGTTGTGGTGTGCCATATGTCGTGCGTTTGACTAGATTACGTGAACAAGTAGTCTCAGCCCTCAACGTATTGAAGTAGTTTTATGGGCAATTGACAGGGGTCAAGGGCTCAGGAGGGTAATTGAACGTCGCTGCAATGGCAAACAATGAGCAATAAAAGAGAACTAAATTGCAGGACAAGTGCTTAAAAACACAACAAATAGGATCAGTTGGAGATTAGCGGGAGAATAATGGAAATTGGGTATTAAGAGTATAAGGATTGAGACAACAGTGGGGCCAGAATTTTATAATTATTTTAAACTTTTTCTAAAATTATTGTTAAAATTTGGTTATTTTAATAAAAAGCAAATAAAAATTTTTATGATTACATTAAAATTAGAATTGAAATTAAAACTAAAATTAATAAATAAATTTAAAAATAAAATAAATTAAAAGTAAAATTAAAATTAAATTTCGATGAAATTAAATTTACTGTTAAATTTTGGTTATTTTAACAAAAATTAAAACAAAAATCTTTACAATTAAATTAAAATTAAAAGTAAAATTAAAATTTAAAAATAAAATAAAATTAAATTAAAAGTAAAATTAGAACTAAAATTAAAACTAAAACTAATAAATAAATTTAAAAATTAAATTAAATTAAAAGTAAAATTAAAATTAAATTTCGATGAAATTAAAATTATTGTTAAATTTTGGTTATTTTAACAAAAATAAAGAGAAAAATCCTTACAATTAAATTAAAATTAATATTAAAACTGAAATTAAAATTTAAATTTAAAAATAAAATTAAATTAAAAGTAAAATTAAAATTAAATTTCGATGAAATTAAAATTATTGTTAAATTTTAGTTATTTTAACAAAAATAAAAACAAAAATCTTTCCAATTAAATTAAAATTCAAATTAAAACTGAAATTAAAATTTTAATTTAAAAATAAAATAAAATTAAAAGTAAAATTAAAATTAAATTTCGATGAAATTAAAATTATTGTTAAATTGTGGTTATTTTAACAAAAATAAAAACAAAAATCTTTACAATTAAATTAAAATTAATATTATATTAAAACTGAAATTAAAATTTAAATTAAAAAATAAAATAAAATTATAAGTGAAATTAAAATTAAAATTAAATTTTAATGTTTTCAAAAGTTTAAATCTGAACATGAAAATCAAAATAAAAGCGCATAAAAAAATAAAAGCAGATTATTACAAAATATTATAAAGAAATTGAGAAAACTCAAAATACACAATTATAATTTACAAAAATTATAAATTTCGTAATTATACAATTTTTTTATATGTGATATTAAATATATTGTTCTTGTGTTTCTGCAGATCTTCAACGCACTATATATCTTTTTTTTTAATTTCTTAAGCATTTGTTGTATAACTTTTATTTTATTGTTATTTTATGAATTTTATACCTTTATAAATTTTTAACACATTTTTTATTATTAAATTTTGTATTAATTTTTTGTCATTGTATGTGATGTTAAAATTTATCTAATTTTTTTTTTAATTTCCTCGATTTCTTAGACTGGTTGAGGTAGCATTTACATTTTTTTTATTAGAACTTTCAATTATAATTTTGCCGCATTCTACATTTTTTAATAATTTTTTTTGAGGGTTTGCTTTTTTTTTTAAAAATGTCAGAAACTATTTTTTCAATTATAAGTTGAAAAAATGTAAAAAAATAACAAGGAATTAAACAAAATTCTAATAACATATGTAATAACTATTTAAATTTTTAATAATTTTCAAATTATTAAGTATATTTTTTTATTAATTTTAGAATTTTGTTTGATTTCTTATTTTTTTAAATTATTTTGTGTAAGTTTCTTCCAAAATTTAATTATTATCAACCTTACCAGTATTGCTTATGAATTTTTAGTTGTTATTATTTTTCATATTATTTGTACCATTTTTAATATTATTTGTAAAATTTTTATGATTATTATTATTTTTTTATTTTTATTATTGTTTCATTTTATTTTTATTTGCTTATTCAATTTAATATTTATTATACTAAATATAAAAATTCAATACTTATTTCTTTTATTTTTTACTTTCTTTCCTTGTATTAATAAATAATATATATTAATTATTTACTTTATTAAAATTTATATATTTAACTGCATTTTTCTTTCATTTTTACTTTAATATTTTATTAATTTCACTAAGAATTTATTTTTTTATCCACAAATAATGATCTATATGTAAATATATGTCTATATATGTCTATATTTATTTTTCATTTTTTATTTTTATTTATTAAATTTTTATTTATTTACTTTTTAATTACTATTATTTTTTTATTTTTGTTTTTCTTTGTTGCTTTATTATTTGTTGTATCAATAAAAAATATTTTAAATATTGGCATTTTGTTTAATTATTTTAATATTAAATTAAATTCACTTGGAATTTATTTTTTGTTATGTACAATAGTATTGAAGGTCCATATTTTTTTATTTGTATTGTTAAATTTTGTATTATTTTTTATTAATTAAATTATTATTTATTTAAGTTTTAATTATTAAATTATTATTTATTTAATTTTTATATTTATTTTTCTTTCTTTATTATTATTTTTATATCAATTAAAACATATTTTTTTAATTTTTTTTAAACTAGTATTTTATGTTATTATGTATTAATTTTTTATTTATTATTTGTTACATTTTTATATATATATATTTTTTTCTTTTTTTAGGTTTTGTTATTTCAACAAAAATTTAATAATTTTTTGTATTAATTTTTAACTTATATTATTTGTAATTTTGTATTCTAGTATAATTTAAATTTTTTCACCTTTATTACTTTTATTATTTCAATGTGTTAATAATTTTTATTTTAATTATTCAAATATTTCATCTTACCCGAATTTATTTTTACTTTATTTTTGTTTTCTTATTAGTAAGCATTGCTTTTGTTATATTCTCAGATCTAGTTTCATATTTAATACATTTTTTTATTAATATTTATTTTATTTTATTTTAACCTCTTAAGCACAATTTTTTAAAAGCAAAAATTTTGATAATATGCTTTTGTATATATTTTTTGCTTTTATTTTTGCACTTATTATTGTAATTATGCATACACTATAGAAAATTAATTTTGTTCCTTCCATAATTTTCTTGTATTATATTTTTTGTCATCTTTATTTTAATTAATTTTAATTTCTTTTATTTTATTTTTTAATTTAAATTTATTTAATTTTTTTGAAATTTATAGAAAAAATATTTTGTTCCTTCCATAAGTTTCTTGTATTATCTATTTTGCCTTCTTTATTTTAATAATTTTTAATTTCTTTTATTTTATTTTTTAAGTTATATTTATATTTATTTTTATTTTTTTGAAACCCTTTTATTTTTTATATCTTAATTTTATTTTTTTATTTTTGTTTTATTTTTACTTTTTTATTATATTATAATTATCATATCTTTAAATAGTTCTTATATTATTTATTAATTTTACTTCATTTATTTATTTTTAAATTTTATTATTTAATTTACTTCAAGCCAATGCATTGAATTTTTAACCAAAATTTTTTTTTAATTTCGTTGTTTTTTCTTTTTTAATATCATTTTCAAAATTTTAATCATTTTTATATTTTTGCTTTTTTATTTTTACTTTTATTGATTTCATTGTATTTTGTTTATTTTTCTTATAAGTTAAATTTAATTTTCATTTGCCTCAGCTTGAATCTGGCAATTCTACTCAACTCAAACAGTCACTCATCGTCGATATACAACAATCGTACAAACGATGATTTTGTCGGTCTCTTGCATTTATTAAGCGATTATTAACAATAAAAGGATCAAGTTAGCGTATAATGAGTACAATGCGCAGCACGTACCTGAACGCATCAATCTACGCCAAAGCCCAAGTGTGAAGGGTGCTGGTATAAAAGTGGAAACAAAGACAGATAAATACAAAGGCTTGGCTAGTTGTGGTGAACGGGGCATTATGAATACGCAAAGCATTAATTTACACCCTTCGAATCTATAAATGAGTGAAAGATGAAAATATTTATTAGTTTTCATTGTTGTTGTCGCGCTACCAGTTGCCCTTCACCCTTCAGCTCAAATTCAGTTATGTAGTTGTTGTTGTAGTGCGAGAATTGTCTATTGAATATTTTATGTGACCGAGTGTCTGTCTATCTGTGGCTAATCCGCAAAGTCATTTCTACTAATTCAATAGAGATGCCTCACAGCGGGCGAAGGGTGGGGTGCTGTACGCATCTAGTTTATATTATGAACATATGACGCAAATCGGCGACAACATGAATTCGTCATGCACTTCAAATATGTTCACAATTTCCAAAATTTTCATTGTTTTAGCTTGTTTGTTGTAACCAAGCAAGAGTTAGTGAATAAAATTGTAGATTGATTAAAAAATGATTAGTGTCTACAAATGCTAACAAAACCACTAGCGTATCGTTATCATTGTTTTGCGCATTAGTATTTGCATAATGAAAAAAGTAAATTTGATAAATTTTTGCATTTACTTTCCGTCTCCATACCTAGTAGCCACGGTGCCACTGAGTCGTTCTCCTTAGCCGATTTGATTATGGTCTCCGGCAGTGGCAACGAATGGCGCACCATCGCTCCATACAATCCGTACTCGGCCATAATTGTGCTGCGCCCCCAGCACTTCTCCGTTTTGCGCCATTTCGCGCGCCGGTTTTGAAACCAAACCTGAAAATGCGAGAAAAAACAAGAGTTTAGAAAATCGATTAAAAAAGACTTCAATAGTTTCACTTGAATATAATCAGATAGACTACATATAATGATCGTTTCAAATAATCGTACTTAACGATAGGTGGCGATAAAACTACGGTATCTGGTGCGAAAAGCCACTATCAAATTATTTCTATAATAATGAATTTCGCTCTTTTTACTAAAATGGTACGATATGTACGTAGCCTACAAAATAAAAATGAAAATTTTAGTAAATTTGAGATTTCTACTTTAAGCTCCATACACTTGATATTGCGATGCTGAACATTTTTATACCCGTCTGGGGGTCAGCACCACCTCTTGATTCGATCCAAATTTCTATACGGCGAGTAACTTTTTCAAGTTTGGAAACAAAAAAAGTCGCATGAAACCAGATCTAGAGAATACGGTGGATGGGACAGTAGTTCATAGCATAATTCGGTCAATTTGGCGGTGGCGACGGCGGAATTTGGAACCGATGTATTGTCATGGTCGGCCGATAAGACAGTATTCACCTGCTACGGAGCATATACACCATGTGAAACTTACTATTCCTTCATCCCTGCGATTGAGTGTTTTATTTAGTTTTAACATCACGCAGTATTTGTTGGTAGACCCTTTACAATAAATATATAGTCTTAACAAAAACAATGAATAAATTACGGAATCTTTCGTCTATTAGTTATACCAAAACCAAAAATTAAATAATAACGAGCATTATTGCGGAAGTGTCTATAAATTAAGTGTGTCAAATTGCTATTAAAAAGTCATTTATCATATCTACGCGAAGAAACACATTTGACAAAGAACTAAGACACATCCAACACCCACCAGCTCCACAAATCGAAGCTAAGATCCTCTCCTGCATACACGCAAGCGCCAGCCATAATTCACATTCTACTGCGGAATGTCTTTTAACAAATTATGCAAATTTTTTCGCGCAACATTTTGGCCGGCCACACAGTCAGCTGAGCAAGGTTGCTGGCGAAGAAGTTAAAGGGTAATCTAATACAAATCTCAACACACGCCATACACTTTCGACTTTTCGCCGCGGAACGCAGTCGGCTAACGAAGCATGATTTCTTTTCGAAGGAAAGGAGAAGTGAATACGTGCAAAGCAAAGTGGCAGGCAATATTTTCATATTCGCTAGTTAACTGTTCATTTTTTCCAATACTACGAAAGCAAAAAAAAACCGAAAAAGTCGTGAAAAATAAATCTAGCGCGACAGTGAATACTCTTTTGGCAAGTAAAAGTGAAAACGAAATGTTAGAGCGCAGATGTACAAGCCAAGTGCTTACGTTTGTCAGTTGGCAAAGCAATAACACGAACTCAACCCACTCGTTTAGTCACTCAAGGCGCATCAGACGCTGTTTTTTTTAAGGGTTTGTTTTTTTTCTGGCCCGCTACACTTTATAACTAATAGCCGAACTAAGCGATTTGATGGACCAGAAAAATGATGACTTCTTCAACTGCTGGGTGGTAGTGTAAGGGGGAGGGTTGTTTTGGTTCGCTTTCAATGCCAGCCACTATCTATATGAACCTTTCGTCTTTTTTATTGTCTGCTTTTATTTACACATTAGTTGATACTTGCTGATGCGGGTTCTAGGCTGTTTAATACTATGTCGTCACCAATAATTTGTTGACTTCTTGTTTTGCAGTATATCTACGGTTTTATGTGTCCCAGACCGATTTTTACGAGCGTAACTTGGGTCTTGGGTTGAGCACTATAAAGTAGTAGAAAAAATCTTCGATCGAAATATCATTGTAGCGCTCTTAAAGTTCTACTTGTATATATTGCATTTTGTAAGATAGAGCGAAATAGAGTTTCCGACAGTTTCGATCCGTTATGTTTTTCATCGTGATACAAGTTGAAATCTATCACAGGTACGTGAATTCACGGTATTTTCAATATTAAATTTGTACCTCGTGACTGTTCATAACTTAGCGCTTTATTTCGAATCTTCAGTAAGCTGACCTTTAAAAAAAAAACTAAAGAGAGTCAGTAGAGCACTGCGATCTAGGAACATTCGCTGACGTATTTATAATGTCTACCTCAACAGTATGTTAGCAATTACAGCATCTCTAGAGTGCGAGAAAAGCTTATCCATAAAGTGACTAAGAACCACCTTATTATGAATAAACTGTGCAGAGAATCGGTAACTATTTAAATACTCAATTAGCCTGACGGTCATTGGGAACTTATACAGTAAACTTCTAATCTGATGAGAGTTAGAAGTTTGTGCGCTGGTAGGATCAATACTGTATTAACTCAGTTAGTCAGAACCACACCTTACTGAGGCCGTTAATAATGAGACAATCGAAACTGTAACATTGAATCCTCGGCGGAAAATAGTATTTTTTCGATTTAGTCGTTATTGAAGAATGCCTTTTGTAGCACATATATGATGGCCCTCGCAAAGCAATCAATTCTGCTGCTAAGTAAATTATTTTTACGAGGGCTCTAGCGGTAAGTGGAGCCTGTTTGAGAGCTTTTTAGCCAGTCCGCTTATTTATTGATTGGAAAGTAGATTATGTGCATTTTTGCATGCATCTATTGTTATCTAACAAGCACAGAAAATATTTTATCTATAACTTTGCAGTGACTACTTCATAGTCTGACTATTCTCATTACAAAGACGATCCTTTGATTGAGAGCTTTATATTATATTTTAGCGTTAGTTTCAAGAGTAATGATTCTATCATCTCTGATTCCTACTGGGAAATTTTAAAATTTATTTGTTGTTCATTTACTTTACGCTCTTCGCCTCAAGTGCCCAAATATGTAAAATCGCATACGCGTCGGTATGTACGCATGTGTAAGTACATAAAATGCAGTGAATCGGTTAAATGTTGTGGAAGATAATCTAATTTGGTCACTTATATGCGAATATTTGAATATTATTTGCTATTTTGTCATTAAACATTAAATGTAATTGTGTGCAAGACTTGGAGAGCGTTTGATGGGGTTGAAGCTGTCTTACGATTTTGTACAGTATAGTAAGTACATATGTAAGTACACACATACTAGCGTGCCTAATAACGGCATTTTGGAAGTTTATTTCAGTTAAAATTTGTGTTATAATATTTTGGAGATTTATCATTCGCATTTTATTACAGATGTTGTATTTTGAAATATGAAGTAAAGAATTTTAAATACACGCTGGTAGAATTTTGCAAATATGGGGGGTATTTTTTAGCATCTTTTATATTATTACTGTTACTTAATGAGAATGACTCTTAAATTAAAATGTATTATGTTGTTTTGTAGCGAAAACATTTCCAAAGTAATTTGGAGAAATGCTGCCGAGTTAACAGTTCTTAGCTGGATAAAACTCCGGGTCCGTTTTGGTAACGTAGAGGACTGTCATGTATATCTAATAACCAGTTAGTGGCTAAGGCAGAGCAAAAACCAGCTACAAGGTTAAAGCCGTCTCCGAACGGCTGCTACGCTTTATGTAGACCGAACTCTTTTCATTGCAAAAGAAGCTTCAGAGGCTTGACTATCTGCGAGTATCGGAGACAACGTTAACTTCGGTTGAACCAAAGCTATAATACCCTTCACAAATACAAAAGGTTTCTTCGAAGAACTTGCTACCAATCGTTTAGTTTGTATAGCAGCTATATGCTATAGTGGTGCGATCTGAACATTTTCTTCGAAGATTGCATTATAGTCTCATTTCGTAAGGAAATCTTGTCAAATGAAAATGTTTCCATACAAGCACTTGATTTCGATTGTTCAGTTTGTATGGCAGCTTTATGCTATATTGGTCCGATATCGGCTATTTCGACAAATGAGATGCTTCTTGGTGAGAAAAGGTCAGGCGCCAAATTTCAGATCGATATCTCAAAAATTAGACTAGGAACTAGATGGTATCATGCTGATAATTTAAATATGTATATTTTATAGCGTCCCCGACGTTTCCTTGTTCAGGGTATAAAAACAATTTATTCATGGATAACATGTAAGTGACGTTTTTTTATTAGGAAGAACTTCCGAGTTTTCTCAAAAGTTAGTGGCAAACGAAAATTTATAGCTTCAAATCATATCGAAATATACGTTGGTATTGGCAGAAGTTTTTGATGAACGAAACTTTCGAAGAACGATAATGTTTGTGCAACAGCGGATTTCGTTAAGATTTTGACTTAATTGTACATATAGACTGAGCTCTCAAAATGTTTGGCAACCGTGTAATACATTTCTTAAGCTTGAAGATCTGCATTGCTTTGGGATTGTTTAATGTAGGCTAGAAGTACCTTGGTAGGTGACTTCCGTATCTAAAAGGAATTTACAGTATAAGCTCTAATTCCTCAATACCCAATAGAGATGATCGGTTTGACAATTGGAGGATAAGTTGACAAATGTTTTTGGTTATAATAAATATAAGCCACAGCAGCAACTTCATTTCGCGACCGCTTTTCAGCAATAATTTGTGGAAAAAAATATCAAAGTTATAGTTTCTTAAAAGGTTATATTTATATTATATGTTTATTTATATTATTTATATATTAAAAACATGCTCCGTTAAACTTCAAAACATTCTTAAATATGAATCTTAATCTTGACTCTAAATTAAAAATGCATAATTAATGGAAAGTCTACGAGCTTATAACTTGTTATACAAAGTATAAGTATACAAAACTCAATATTAGCATTCATGTATAACAGCTTTAATATACTAACATATTCGATGAATTTGTTACTTTCAGCTATCTAAATATATACAACACCCTATCCAGCCTACTTGTAACGTCTAAGTGTCAATGACTTAATTAAATTTGTTGTGAGAAAATTAAATTATCAAACAGTTTGTCACATAATAACAACATCTAAAACATGACAAGTAGTAAGTATTTACTGTTATTGTTGGTAAAACGCTTGTGAGCTCGGTGTTTCCTAACAAAGCTCTGACGGGGTAGGATTAATTAATTTAAATATGTGTTCACTTGAAAGATTCTTTTCTGCTTTGGATGCCTTTAG